CCCCCCCCCCAAGCCTCCCCAGGTCGCGCGCTTCGCGCGCATCTTTTCAGGGTCGTCTGCACATCTAGTTTTTCTTCTTTTTAAGTGTTCCGCGCATCCACCGCGGGGAGGAAGTGTATTTCCCGAAGTGGGATTTTTGTAGTCATAAAATCGTATGTCTGTAAGTCATTGTGTAATCGATAGTTTTTTTTCCAGATATTTCCTTTCCTTGGGCCGCTGTGCCACGAACAGTTCTTCCGAAAACGTTCTTCACCTGACCCACTGTGCGACGCGCAGTTTATCCAAAATCTTCCTTCCCCTGAACCACTGAGCAACGAAAAGCTTGTTCAAAAACTTCTTCCTCCTGACCCACTGTGCGACGAAAATTTTATCCAAAAACTTCCTCCCCCTGACCCACTGTGCGACGAAACTTTGTCCAAAAACTTCCTCCCCCTGACTCACTGTGCGACGAAAATTTTGTCAAAAACTTCCTCCTCCTAACCCACTGTGCGACAAAAATTTTGTCCAAAAACTTCCTCCCCCTGACCCACTGTGCGACGAAAATTTTATCAAAAACTTCTTCCCCCTGACCCACTGTGCGACGATCAGCTTATCCAAAAACTTTCTCCCCCGATCCACTGCGCGGCCCTTCTCCGGCCGGCTCCCCTCATGCCGCGCACCCCTCGCCTAAAACTTTCAAAGCTCGCCATTTTTAAACGGCTCGGCCGATTTAGCTCAAATTCAATACCAAACCAGTTCTAGGGGAGAACTACCAACCGTAAAAATTTCAGCTCAAAATATTCATTTTCGCTCGAGTTATCGAGTGGACAAGATTTGACCTCCCCCCACTTTCGAGCCCCACCCCTCAAAATCTATTGCCTCAAATTTCAATTTTTCCGCAGAATAGTAGTTCTAATGAGTCTGTACTAAATGCAAAAAAAATTGGTCAAAATATCTTTCAACGTAAGAAAGATATAACTACTCAAAAATCGAAAAATCTTAAAAAGGCGGAAATACATACATACATTCATACATACATATATACATACATATATACATACATATATATATATACACATGAATTTGAATGGCATATATATTCGTGATCTATGACCCGTGATCGGTGCTCTCCACAAGGTCTCGGGTGTGGGTCCGACATCATGGGAGAATGCAATAGTGTATTTTCTTCGGAAAATACACTAGAAACACAGGTCCGTTTATGTTACGGGAGGCAACTTGTCTGATATAGCCGTCAAGCGATTTCGAAAAAAAGTGTTTTTCGCTCCACCCTAAGGGTCCATTTACATTATTTTGTGTACGTTGCTGTTAATGGTTTATGGCTGCCCTCGCCAAAAGCAAAAAAAGGTACAATCAACGAGGCTAAAGGGGGGGGGGGTCCGGAACCCCTGGACCCCTCTTCCTTGTTTACGCCACTACTTCAACATCCTAAATTTGGTCAATTAGATGCGCAAACACTTAGGTAAATACAGCGAAAACCCTTCAACATTGCATAGTCGCTCGGTAACTGATGAGATCGTGCTTTAAAGTGGCCCGCGCGTCGCACATCTTTATTAGTGCTTCAATCAAAGCGATATATCTCAGAAGTCCCTTCTGCAATATGTACTATCGATCTAAATCTTAAAATCGGACTTTCCCAAGCTTCATTTTTTCGATTTATTGCTGCTTAAAT